AAACCTTTTGACGTTAACCGCTTCCGAGCGCGACTCAAAAAACCAAAAAAAAAGGCCCAATATCTTAAAAACTAGCGATGGTAGCACTTTTGCGCAATAATAGCTTTTGATCAGAAGCTCAAAAACTATCATATACCAAAGTTGCAGAACATTTAGCCGGGACCCAATTTCCATAAGATTAGTGCGGGGTCCTTTGGATAAAACTGAAAACATTATCTCTATTCTTAAAAAAGTTACAGTCCCACAAAACTCTAAAAAAATCAAATTTCTAGGAGTAACTCTTGATGCAAAACTCACCTTGGAACAACACATTAAAGAAACCTAAAAAAAAGTATGCTCTGCCACCTATGCTCTGCGAAACATATCAAAGATAGTATAGAGTTTTAAATAACCATTTGAAAGTACCAGTCGTTCTAGTGACTTAACGAATGTCGGTTCTTGAATACACAAATAAAATTAGGTTAGGAATTTCCGCTTTGTACATGAAATTGACGTATTAGCAATCGACGTTCGTTTTTGTGGTAATAGGGAACTTGTACATTTTTTTTTTATTTCAAAAATGTGTTCTACTACACTAAAGACTTAGGCTGGCCGTCCATTGGATGCGTAGTCGTACGACTTTGCGTTCGTGCGTAGTCGTCCGTATACGTCCGACTAATCCCCTTATATAAAAATAAATAGGACGCTCATCCACTCCACGCGAATTCGGTCACACGACTTGATCCGATTTTATGCGACCAACGACTGGTCCCATTTAAATGGGATTTGTCGGACGTTTTCAAACGACTTTCGATCAGTATTTGCAATTTAGCCAGTGCAGATTTTTATTTCTTTACATATTGTGGATAATTATGGATTGTGAGAAGCTAATTTGCAAGGTGAGAGGAAGAAAAGCATTATGGGACATGAGAGACAGCAGATATATCATACTAGAGACGTTCAACGCAAATTGTGGAAGGAGGTTGCCCAAAAAATGTATAGTGTCAAAGTCCATTTTAATCACTCTTAACTAAACATACCATTACAATGGCGACACTTGAACATACGCTACAAAATAAAGAAATGTGAAATATCTATTCAATTTATCAACCAGAAATCGTTTCTAATGGACGAGGTGCAGTCGTTCACATTCGTACGATCAAAGTCGTCCGATTATTCACGACCGCAAAGTCGTACGACTACGCATCCAATGGACGGCCAGCCTTAGTCATACCAAATATCGAGCATTAAAAATCAGCCGTTAATTTTTTATAAATATTTAAAGTTACGCTCGGAACATCACTATTTAAAACGACCAATTAGTGTGACGTCACTCGGCAACAAAATTCCGTTGATAGAGACGAGCACTTCGAACTTCGAGCAGGTAGATTTATGGCGTTTCCGATTGGTAGATCTAGTGCAGAACTAGTGCAATTTTTTCTATTCCTGTCTTTTTCTTCTACAGGTCGAATAAAAGGATGCAAATACACTCAGTGCGCACTGAATCTACCAATCGGAAACGCCATTAGATTATGGTTATGTTGTTATGTATGCCATTTACGATAGATCTGAAATCGTCGATACCAGCAGCACATGGTGTGGCGGCGCGGCGGCGCGACCTGATTATTTCTGCCTTGTGACGTCAGGACCCATAGAAACATGTTTTCGATCGCGTCATGAATTTCGAATTATTTGGTATATTCAATTGAAGATTTTAGACACCAGAGATAAGATTTTACTTTTTTTTCCTAACTGCATCAATTATTAGGATGTTTGTTATTGTGTTTTATTATTTATTCCATTTTTAATTTAATGTGCAAGTTCCCTATTATGTGCATCTGTATGTAAAATGTTCTTGTCGACTTAAATATTTAGTATGTATAGGTATAAGTTTTTCAGTAATATATTTTAACTATAAACTTTGAACTTTGAGTAATCGACAATCATGCGTTTCTTATGATTCGAATTGCTTGTCACCAAAACTTGTGCTCTCCAAGATGAATTACTTGGTTCAATGACAATAATCTTTGTATTTCTGTTTCTATAAATCTGTAGTCATTATTAGAATATCGTTTAGATTTAATAGCAATATATAGGCTTGCAATTTTCCGTTAAATTTGCAAAGGTCGAATATGTATGCGCTGTTAATAGATTACAGATAGAAAATTTGATTGATTTCCATCAAAACTAAATTCTACTCCTGAATGATTTTGAAGAATATCATGTCCAATTATAACATCAGAACAGAGATTTTCCGAAACATAAATCTTGATATTTTTATACACATGATCTGATATTTTTATAATAACAATACAGTATCCACATGCAAATAGGAGAACTTAGAGATAATAGAGCCATTGTGACATTTAGATTCGTACTTTCATAGTTTGTGTGTGTTTTTGAGATATAACTGTCTGAACTTCCAGTATCATTTAATGCATTGGTTGGAAGATGATTGACTTCAATTATTTTAATAATAGCTCTCGATGAGCACAATGTTGATGTTGTTGACATCATTCCAATCATGGCAGCTGAAGTTTCATTTGAATTATGAGATTGTTTTTGATGTTTTGATCTTCATACTTGTGTGAAATGACCAATTTTTCCACTAGAATTCGAGATTGCATCTTTTGCTAGACATTTGTCTTTAGAATGTCTGCTTCTTCCACAAAAATAAAATTTTGAAGTAATTACGGCAGGTCTTACATCCTTTCGTTCATTTGATTGTTGAACATAAGTCGATGACTGATTTGATAAAATCGAATTTACTTTTGAATTTGAGGTATAATAATCTGACTGTTGTTGAGCCATTCACTAAAGATCTATATAGCTGATTTCAGTGCTTCTTCCAGGTTCAGAGTCCTATTTTCTAAAAGTCTCTGCCTAATGTGAGATGTGGCGAGACCACGAATTCACGAATAAATGAATCTTTTCATGTAGTTATTTTTATTCTGTTCAGCAGTGACTGCTTCAAAATTATAGTCTTTACTCAATTGCATTAAAATTTGTAAGTACTGGTCTAGTAGATTCACTTACTTGCGTTTTTCTAGTGGATAAAGTATGACGGGCAAAAATTTCACTTTGTGTTTTAACACATAACTTTTCGAATAATCGAATTTCCATAAAAGAAATACATTCAATAATAGACTGAAGAGCTCAAGAACTCATATAGTTTACCAGAAGGTTTAATGTGTCCTTGTCTTCTGAAATTTTGCAGCTTATTCTAAAAAGTTCTCAAACGCTCGTGTCCAGTGAATCCATAACTGGCTAGCGTTGCTTGAATGTGTATCATTTTCTAATCGATCTGTCTTGAGTTATGTGTCCATTATCAAAAATCTTGAAACATTTGGTTTGAGAGATACCACGAATTTGCAAAGAAGTTTGAATAACATTATATTACTTCAATATACCTTAGAAAAACGTAATAGTTGACCTTTGACACAAATCTTAAATGCGTAAGTTAGATATCTTATTTCTGCAAACCTAAGTCTGAATACTGATTCTGATAATATGCTTAATTGCATTTTCAGCACGTACATTCCAATGAATAGAGTTGTTTACGCGTTTGTTTATCAGTTATACCTTCATTGTTCCTATTTAGACAAAATATTTCATTATCATCAACCACTATGCAGTTTAGCAAAATGTATAATAATTTTGCAAGATATTTGAACTTCTTAAATGCTTTATAGTGTCTCTATTAAGCTCAAACTAACCCATAAGTTTCAGGATTCATAATATGGAGATAAAGTCAAAAAAAATTGAAGAATTATAAATTTCAATGAATTTTCTTACTATACCTATGTAATTTTTTAAGCATGTTTTCTACAATTCCCATAGTTTGAGGGGCTTTCATTTCAAAACTTGCCACCCACATTATCTGCGTTAAGAGGCATGTTTGTGGAAATCGCCGAAAAACGTCAACAAATTTATTAGCGGGGAAGGTTTTTTAGGTGAAACTGGACTTCGCCCCTTCAACCCCCTAAACTCTAGGGCTACCACCCCAAAATTTTCAAATGAGACAGCGAACCGAGTGATAGATCATTTCAAAGGGCTGTTTAATCTGTACATTTTGCCGTCCTATTTTTTAAATTTGACCTCACTGTTGCAGAATAACACCCATTTCAATGTTTAAAAATGCATATTTATCCCTAAACACACCTGCTTGTTTACCTACCTTTTCATTACAGCAACAGGTAAACAAGCAGGTGTGTTTAGGGATAAATGTGCATTTTTAAACATTGAAATGATTTATCACTCGGTTCGCTGTCTCATTTGAAAATTTTGGGGTGGTAGCTCTAGGGCTTAGGGGGTTGAAGGGGCGAAGTCCAGTTTTACGTTCCCCCTCAATAAATTTGTAGACGTGTTTCGACGATTTTCAGAAATCTGTCTGTTTACGCAGATAACGTAGGTGGCAAGTTTTGGAGTCATGGATTTTCCAGAATTACGTACCTTACTGAATAGTTGATCTATTATTTTTGACTATATATGTATAGGTAGATTGTTTCATTTAAGCAATAACATAACTTAATACATTATGTAAATTTTACATTTTGCGTCACACAGAAAATCCTATGCGGAGAATCCACCATATTACCACAAAATTAATTTAATTTCTCATAAAAGTTCAAAAAAAGTGATAAATTTAAATTTATGAATAGAATAAATAATGCCATTCCAAATATCATAAATTACCTCCAGAGGAATAATCTTAATAAGTAGCTGTAAGTAATTAAAGGAAAAATCCGTTTATAATATTCATAAATTTACAATTACAGAAACTGTATTAGTTATTCTTATTGTTTATTTATGCAAATAGTACTTAGTCAAGATTGACTTACAATTAATGAAAAAAAAAAAACAATTAATGTAGTAGGTAGCTTGATAAAATGTTAAATAAGTAGTTATTTATATAAGCTACTTCTAATTGAATCGGCAAATCAAATAAATATCACAAAAAAACATTAATTTTATATAAAAAGAAAATAAATTCAACACAATCAAATAATAAATTAACTTACGCAAAAGTCACAGAATTACTTCTATGATCCTTAGTAAATTTCATCTCTTATTTATTTAGAAATTAATTCACCAGAAAACACACAGACGCGCGAAACGGTTTTTTTGAAAATAATTAATATAATATCCGTTATATGAAACGGTACCTATCTTGTATACTACTGAGTACAATGTGTCACGTTATAAGTACCACTATAGAGTGAAAATCAGAGTCTTGAGAAAATAGTACCGGCACGTACTGAGTGAGCGGCGCTTGAAAATTCGCGGGGGTTTTGTCAGTACCGGTCATGTGACGCGATTTCCACATACCTACTTTTCTCATGTGAGAGAAACACCTTAACCACGACCAATCGGGACTCTCGCGAAATTTGCATTTTTATCTATCGGCCGCAGGCGAGGGGGAATTTTGTTTATCAACATTAAAAATTTTGGTAACTAATTAATTTATGACCACCGTCGTCACGTTTTTTAGGGTCTTATGAGAAGCGGGAAATGTTATATTTGGTTCACGTTTGTCGGTGTGAAGTGAATTTGATAGATGATTGTTTCTCAAATTTTTTGAAAGTTTGTTACAATTGAAAAGAAAACTGAAGTCATTGATGTCAAAAGTTTCTCATACGGTCACTATTGGTTGGTCAAGGATTTTGGGATGATTGCAATCACATCAACTGACTCAAAAGAAAGCTCACTTTGATCAGCTGCCACTACCCTGTAAACGTATACGTAATTGTTTCAAATTAAAATGATATCCTCCCTCTACGTATAAAAATATTAGGTAATAGATATGGCTTTTGCACGGTGTGTCTGCAATTCGTTGTAGTCCTTCTCTTCTTCGTTGTACAATTATGTTACGGCTTGTGTTTTCATTGTCCACAATTACGATGGCAACTTCGTCTATCTGGATTGCATTAAATCGACGTTCGTATTCTCTAAGTGGTCTCTTGTCGATTCGAATCATAACTTTATAGTCATCAGAAATCATTCCGTCTAGTGCTGTTTTGAATAAGAGAATAAGTTGATTGTATGTGTGTAAGATCCTCTGTACATCTGGGATTATTTGTCATCTCAATCCGCTACTGATGTTTGTGCATCGTTGATCAATTTAATTTCTGAAGAAATATACTTGTAGAAACTTAGTCTTCATTGATGAGGGATTTTCATTCGGGCTCAATGGCCGTCGTAAGTTGGAATTTCTTCTTGACGTTTCGCTAAAACGCGTGGCTAGCATCTTCAGAGGTGCTTCCATGTCCGATTCTGGTAGCAAACTGACGCGTTTCCGACCGTAAATTGTATTTATGTGTGAGTGGCTGTGGTTGGGGAGGAGCGGGGCTTCGCGGCACGTGGCTAATCTCAACTTTCTCTGTACCTACTCAATGGAATCTTTCTTGCGTTTTTGAGGATCGGGTTCCAGATTTGGTTAAGTTTTAGTGTTTCTTCTTTCCTGTTCAAGTTCTCCGTATGTTTGTGGATTTCTATTAGCTTCACGTACAAGACGATAGTTGTATTCGGTGCAAGAAGCTTGAACTCACCAAAGAGTATTTCATGATTGCCTTCATTAAGCGCATCTTCCGCAACTGCCGATTTTTCCGACTGTCCTAGTCTGCAGTTTCTTTTGTGCTCGTTAATCCTGGTTCCCATGGATCTTTTTGTCATTCCTATGTATACCTTACCACATGTGCAAGTGCAAGGTATACGATAGACTCCAACACTTGACAGTGGGTTCCTCTTATCCTTGGCTGATCTGATTGATTGCTGTATTTTCCTTGTTGGCTTGAAGATTGTTTTTATGTTGTGTTTCTTCAAGGCTCTTCCTATCCCGTCTGTCACCCGAGAAATGAAAGGCAGATAATGCATTAGCCACCACTGGTTGTTCATTCACGTTTTGTCGTGTGGCAGTTTTGGGTTGCATGGCCCTGTCGATTTCAGATGCATTGTAGCCATTTGCTAGAAAGGCCGACTTGAGATGATCCAGTTCTTGGTCGAGATATTGTGGCTCGGGGCTCGCAGATGTTCTGAGCAAGTTCTGTTAACGTTGTTATAATTCCACGTTTTTGCCTTGGATGGTGGTTTGAGCGTTCATGCAGGTACCTGTCTGTGTGTGTAGGTTTTCGGTAAACAGCGTGGCTTAGTTTTCCTCCAGATTTCTTTATGAGCACATCTAAGAAGGCGATTTCCTGGTTTTTCTCCTTTTCCATGGTAAATTCTATGCTAGGATGTTGCTCGTTCAGCTGGCCTAGGAGCTGGTTAAGCTTCTTTTCCCCATGACTCCAAACCATAAAAGTATCATCTACGTATCGGAGCCATACTGTTGGTTTGTGGTCAAAAGTTTATATAGCTTTCCTCTCGAATTCCTCCATAAAGAACTTGGGTATGACCGGGCTAAGCGGACTTCCCACAGCTACACCGTTCGTTTGCTCGTAGAAATCGCCGTTCCAACTACCAGTGAGACATGTCCGGAAAAGCTCAACTATGTCATTGGGGAAGGTACTTGATATTAAGTCAAGAGATTCCGTCAATGGCACTTTTGTGAATAGGGACGCGACATCGAAACTGACCAGGATATCGTTAGGTTGAAGAATTCCCTAATTTTCCGGACAAAGTGAGTGGAGTCCTTGACGTAAGAGCTAGTTTTTCCTACATGCGGTTGAAGAAGCGATGCAAGATGTTTCGCTAGGTTGTATGTTGGTGCTCCAGGTGCACTCACTATAGGTCTTAGCGGGACTTCCGGTTTGTGAATTTTGGGTAGGCCGTAGAGTCGTGGTGGACCTGCTTCTGTTTTTATGATGCCTTTCTTAACCGTGTCTGTTAGGGTAGATGAGCTAATCAGTTTGTTGGTATTCCAGGGTGTGACTTGTGTGGGATCCTTCCTTAGCTTTCGATAGGTAGATGGATCAAGGAGTTCCTGAATTTTCCGGTTGTAGTCTTCAGTTCTTAACAGAGCAGTTGCGTTGCCCTTATCCGCAGGTAGGATGATCATATCTTCCGCTGATTTCAGGTTCCTAATTGCCATTAGTTCCTTCTTAGAGAGGTTACTGGTTACGATTAGTTACTGGTTAGAGGTTACGTCAGGAAGAAATTCCAACTTACGACGGCCATTAAGCCCGAATGAAAACCCCTTATCAATTAACCTGGGCCGCGAAAGCCTAACAAACTTTATCATATAGTCTTCGTTAGGTAGTAAAGGCATATAGGTACCTAGTTATTATTAGGCAGTGTATAGCGAAATGTAAACATGCAACATTCCGATACTTTTTATATTTTCAATTTCTGGTCACCAAGTCAAATAAAGAGAGCCCACTTCAGCTTTGAACCTCGAAATAAATAGTTCTATATTTAAAACATTGAATATATTTTTCCTAAATCCTTAATTATTACAGTAATTATCCCATTTTGTGATAGATGGAACAACTTCGACTTCATCTCTGCTACTGTTGATTGAAGTGACACCGAAAGAAGTCATTTGGAAGCAGGCATTGTAGGATTTTATATTTTGAAAAAAGTGTTTTGATTTTTGAGTTTTCCTGGTCTTGTAATGTAGAAATTCCTGCGGAGGTGCTTCCAGTGGTGGTAATCGAATGTTTCCATTTATGCAACAGGTTCCTGGTGTTTCTATACTGCATTTTTTCGCATTGCAAAATTGGTAGATGTTATCCATTTTTCCGATTAGGTACTGCGTCTGCATTCTTTTATTCGAGCTTTCATTATAAGATTGTGTCTCAAATCTTGATCCTTCACTTCGTTCATTTCGTTATTCTTCGGATTTTCTGCTTCTCGCGTTGCTCATTGTCGTTCATTGGGAACGTAAACGTGACTCGTGCTCGTCGACTATTTCGTTTTTGCGCTGTTCTTCTTGTTTTTGCCGTTTTGCTTCAGAACTAGCAAAATCTCCTCTTTTTCTTTAGGTTTTGTCTTAGATATAAATCAAAATTTTTCATCAAGAAATACACTAAAACTCTTGAAACACTTTTCACACTTTATTTTTGACACGATATGACACACACTTCTTTGATCTGCTTATCGCGCTATTCTATACACAACTAACTCACGTAGCGGGGTAGCTCTGTCGATTATTCCGGATATATTCAAGATAATTCCATTGGAGGTCATTCTTGTAATGCCTAGAAAATCAATATTCTTTACTTAAATCTAATTTATACGGGGACTGATCAATAATTATTGAATGTCATATGATCGGTGTTGGGCAGAATCGAGAGTCGGTCTTATATGGGTTTTAAGGGCTATCTACCTTATTTTAAGCGGTTGAGAATTCGTACTTGGCGAGTCACCCCCTGGGACTCCCCCATGCGGTGTTGCCAGATTGTGCATAATTTCTTCAACAAAACGTGGGTGCAACGTGCATACTTCATAACAATATATAAAGATAAGTGAATATTAAATTTAACCTAATTTGTCTTTGGAATCCTCAGACTATGTTTTAGCGAGAAATTAAATTCTAGTCATTGAAGAGTTTTTCCCATATAACTTTTTATGAGAGGGTAACTGAAAAGTATTTTTTGCTATAAAATACATGAAATTGAATTTATTTCAACAATTCAGAACAGCCTATGAAATAATGTATGTATAATTTTCTGGAAAAAAAAAGTACATTGTTACCTATTAATCTATTAGGCGTTTGCTAATACTCTGTGAATCAATCACCCTTTCTAAATAACCATAATTGGTTACATCTACTTCAATGTGCAATCAATTTGAAAGCAATCAAAGGCTTCCAATGTTCCACAATATTTCCCAACATTCGAAAGTGTTCTGGAATGTTCCACAATGATCTGGGATTTTCCCAAACATTCCACAACATTCCAGAATGTCGTGGAATGCTCTCGACTACTCTCGAATGTTCTGGACTGTTCTAGAAGTTTCTAGAGGCGAAACTTCCAGCCCATCTATACAGTGGCATAGCTAGGCGTCGGCGATGTCGGCGACCGCCGATGGCCTCGCGCTCTAAGGGGCCTCGCAAAAAATACGTTACCGAACCTGAAAATTGGCACTTTTCAATTTCCCAAAATGAAACGTAGAATAAACTTAATCTTATATGAAACTTCTTTTGATATCATAGAATTCGTGCAGTATTTTGCTGTAGGTATTGTATACATTCTACAATAATTTGAAAGTTTGTCCAGCATTTGATTTCGTTCAGCAAACCTGCTTGCTAACATACAGAGATTCGGAAATTATTTTAGGCTACCTAAAAAAAGCAGTGGCGGCTTGTGGTCTATACCTTGTTGTGAACTAGTGAATTTATTATTATTTATATTATCAATAATTCTAATGTTCGCTACATTTTCTCTTCTACAAGTTCCACCATCTGTGTAATTGAGTCCCAAGTTTTTATTATAACAATACTTTATGCTGTTAGGGTTTAAAGACGATGCCGGCTAGAAGTATTCCCAGGCCTTTTTTATAATACAGATGGCGAGAATTACAACCCCTAGGCTAATTTTAGGTTTATGATTGTACAAACGTTTCGTAACATTTTAGCACCTAAATAGAATATGTTGTTAGGATAAGTTAATTTTAGGAAATTGTAAAATACTCTTCTTTAGGGAGGTCCAAACTTGCCTTCCTTGGCGGAGGATAGCTGAAGACAAGATATTCAGATTTCGAGCTTCACTCTGAACAGTCGGGTTGCCTCTCAACATTCTTAACTAAGTGTCCCCCTTCAACGAGAATTTTAATAAATGAAACATTTTTATACAATACTGAGTTTTAACTATCGAAGTACGAGATTGGAGCGCGCGGAAAACTCCAGGTACTCAACATTCGTGGCATCGGTCAACTCCCGATTCCCAACAACCTGAAGGGGTTCACACCCAAAGTAGGACCCAGTAGGCGATGCCCACCGTAGTTGCGGCCGGGCCGGAAGCAGAATTTTTTTCGGTTGCCATGCTCAAAACGTATTTTAAGCCTTTAAAAAAATAATTTGTGTGTTTTTTTAATAATTAAAATTTTCTTGGGACTCTCTGGGGAAGGTGTAACTTCCCCCGTTACCCCCCCTCGTGGATCCGCCACTGCCCCCCTACATAAAAAGGGTCTCGCAATTCGAATGTCGCCGACGGCCTCGTTTGGTTTGGCTACGCCACTGCATCTATATTCAAAAGCACGCCCTTCAGGTGAAAACAGGAACCTTCTTCATAGACTGAAGATGGAGGGTTACCACACCATATAATTCCCTTGATCGTACAGGGACTCATTGCTGAGTAGGGCTTCGCAAGACCAAGACCAAGAACAAGACTGGCCAGTCTTGGTCTTGGTCTCGAAAAATAAATGCGGTCTTGGTATTGGTCTTGGTCTTGATGTTTCAAGACCAAGACAAGACTGGCTCAGTCTTGGTCTTGGTCTTGATAGTCTTGAAAAAAAATTCATACCAAATTTTTAAAATACACATAACATCCAACCACAGAGCAGAGATAATGGGTTTAGGACTTCAAAAATAAAAAATAAACCTCCCTTTCTGAAAAAATTATGCCGACATTTCGATCATGCACTTGGTCTTCTTCACAAGCTATTTTTGCTACCAAGAGCGTTTCATGTCAAAAAAATACTGCATAAAGCATTCCACAATACAGAGAAACAAACAAACATCAATTCTTAAACTATAATTTTTATTAACGGAACAGGAAAGTCGACAAACACATCATGAAATTGCCATTCTGTATCGAGGAAAAAAAATAAATTTCTTTTTGAACCATACATTAAACCTACCTTACCTACCTGAGTATTCAGGCCAGAGAAAGGTTTTCGAAAACCTTAACATATTCACATACCTCATTTGAATTTTATTGGCCTATTCACAATAATTAGATTTGGGTTAGTTTGGGTAAGATGTGGGGTTTGTGTTAGTTTGGGTTAGTTAGTTAGTTAAGAATTATCTTTGGAAATTCCAATAATTAGGTATTGTATTATGTAGGGATAGGAAAATATCGATGTGTTGTGTGTAAATGAATGTTACCTACACTATGTTGTACGTATGTATTTTTAAAACCTATAATACCTTCTCGTGAATTTCAAAAAATAATAAATTTGATGAATTGATTTATTTAAAAGACATTAAGAAAAGATATAGGAATTTGCATATTTTCATAAATATTGAGTCGATTTTTTTTTTTCAAGACCAAGACCAAGACGAGAGTGTTGAGAGAGAGTCTTGGTCTTGGTCTTGAGAAGATTTATCAGGTCTTGGTCTCGGTCTTGGTCTTTGTCTTGCTACCAAGACCAAGACAAGACCAAGACTAGTCTTGTGGTCTCGCGAAGCCCTATTGCTGAGTTTTAGCGGCAGGCACATTGTACACTTTCATTTTGTAATATGAATATATTGATTACAAATTTTGCAAAACTTTTTTCCCATAGGTATAGCTTATTGATAACAAAAATTAATACATTATTGTTGGAGTGTTCTAAAAAAAAATACCAATATTTTGTTATTAAATAAAACTTTATTTTTTTACTCTGAAAAATTAAATTAAGCATCATATTATTTTTAACTGAGAGTTCATTGATTTTTGCCTTTCTACTTGTATTTTTTTCTTGTGATTATTATTAATATACATATAACATAAATTAGACTGAAATTCGTTTTAATCCAAGCTCGAACCCCGTTTGAGGTTTCAAATTCATAGCAATTTTGTTGAATTTTAGAGGAATTTGAGTTTTTTTGGTCGGCACTATTTCAAATTTATGTAGAAAATGGAAAAGGACCGATTTTATTTCTAATAAAGCAAATCTAGATCCTATACAAGCCCTAGGTCCAATACCAAAAGGCATATACGTATATGGATTGATTTTATCTTTATTTTCTTCCGAAAATCGTTCTGGAATAAATTTCTCTGGATCTGGATAGTAGTTGGGGTCATGATGGATACTGTATATTGGTATCAAAATGGTATCGCCCTTGTTTAAATGTATATCAGTATCAGAATTTAAAGTGTAAGGTTTTGTGCATATTCTGTCAGTTGCAGGAGCTGGAGGCCACTTTCTTAGGGATTCTACAATAGCAACTTTATATAAATTCTGGTATAAATTGGAACAAGTCCTCACCTGAAATTACCATGTCTAAATACTTCATTCCCAAAATGTCTTCATAAGAAGGCTTTCCTTTAGTCTGTGTATAAAAACTGGTTATTTCCTGCCTCAGTGTATCTTGAACTTTCGGATTAAGTGCCAATTCATAGCAAGTGTAACACATTCCATATGATACCGTATCGAATCCGGCCAAGAAAAATATTAGGGCTTGAGAAGTGATGTCCAAGTTTGTGATTTCAACTTGTTTTTTGTTTGATTTCACTGAAAAAAAAATAATGTAAAACTATGTGAAATCAAAAGTTTTGAATTGTATAGATAGTGTCATGGATTCTGCGGTATAGCTCTCCATTCCTACTAAAAAAACTTTTTCTACTTCAATTCAACCAATTGACAAAATTCACATGATTTACATACTACGTGCCTCATACAAAAAAAAAAACATTCAATTCAAAAGGCTTCTTTAGAATCGCTTCAATCACGACAAAATTAGCAATATTACAACAATTGGTTTAACTACAATCAAGCTCAAAGTCACAAAACTGAACTACAACTCACTTACTTAATGATTAACCGACTATTAATAATTTACCATATAATTCTTGAAATACTGGCGTTATTATCACTATCTCTTTTCCTTGGTGGACGATTCCGTTTTATATCGCTCTGTTGCTTTGCGAATATTCTACTCATCGGACAACGTTGCACAATATCGCCAACTTGAAAGATCCGTAACAACATTAATACCTACCTATTTCAGAAAATTCCTGTACAACAGCAAATCCACTATCTGATACATCAGCTTCCTCTCTATTATTTATTCCCTTTTTAATTTCTAACAGCAAATTGATCATATCCGGACGTTTTATTTGTTGTTCTTCTCTTATTTTTATTGTTTCGTTTATGGTGGTTTCAAAATATTTGCTGGCTTTTTTAGGAAGAAGACCTATATTAAATAGCTGAGGAGAAAAATTTATAAAAACTCAAGAAAAGTCGCTTAAAATATTGTTGGGTACCTTGAAAAGTTTAGGGACAAGTGTGAGTCCCATGAATTTCATGAAAAATAAAAAACCAGATAAACTCGTAACTTCTGTTCCCATTTGGAAGAATTCATTACTTGGATTTTCTAGAGAGTCGACTTTTATTCCAAAAGATGTTGACGCAATGACATCATTTGTATATCTGTAATATAAAAAAAAAATAGAGCCTCTACTCATTTTCAATCCATCAAGAAAATGTAACCTTGTAAATATATCTTTTAACTCTACATCCATGAAGACTTCTTTTTTCTTTTCAAAATGATTAGCAAATTTTTTAGATTCCTCAGCAATTAAAGTGTACATTATTCTCATTTTGCTGCTAGTAAACGAGCCTGACAATAACGAACGCATTTCTCTCCATCTTTGACCTGGAACATTTTTGTGTATTTTTAGAATATTTGCAAATATAATGGCTACCTTTCAAAGAAAACAAATTTTTGCCCCATAGGGGATCAACGTCTTCAGAAACACTAAGACCTTTGTGATCTGTGAAATAATCAAAATCCTTAACGGCAATTTGTTTGAATAAATCTGGATCTTTGAGTAGCAAGAAAGGCATATAGAATTGGTATATTCCTATTAATCTGAAAAAAGTAGGTATATAACATTGCATTATATTTCAGTTAAATAATTATACTTTTTGTCAGGATACAAATTATAAATCCAATACATCCATTCGATGGGGTTTTTATATCCCAAAAAGAGGGGCCAAGCATCTCCCAGTAGTATTATGGGGTTTGTTTGGGGTACGCCCATTTTTTTCCAATAACTGTAAGGTTGCAGGTAACCCTTCCATATTATCAATATTAAAATTGCCACAGTAATAATAGCCCATAACATTGTTATAGCTTGACCTAGAAATTTAAAAACATGATCAGGGTTCATGGACATTGTAGATTTATATTTAGAAATATATTTGTACGTATGAGATTAATTTATATTGCATCGTCTTATAGTATTGATATCTTCTGAATTAGTTTTGATATTAGAAAAGTTGTTTTAGCTATGGTGCAAAATTAACTAACAAAACATGCATATATGTTTACTTACAAAAATTCAGAGCATCCAACCTGTCTGTAATTTTTCTGCGACTGATAAATTTAACCTTGCATGGTGATGACAAATTATTGGTAATGACTTAATAATTATTTTAATCCGCGGCACGTAAAGGCAAGGAGCCTGTTATAATACTTTACCTACTTTATCTTCAATTAATTTTTAATTGCAATATTCCTCTTAATATTAGTACGAGTACGTTTGAGAGATGAGAAGTAATAGGATCTTGCAAGCACCCATAAGTTTTTAGTGAATTATGTCTTACTGGATAATCATGAGTTTCGAACTATAAATTAAGAAAAAGCATCAACTGAAAAATGTGATTGCAAGGCCCATTCATTTCAGCTCCCAGCGTCTCGAACAACAAAATCATGAAGATCCTTTTCTCGACCTTTGTCACAGATCAATGACTATCCACTGTAATGTAGGTATATTCAAAACATGCCTCCATATGCACAATTTGTATAGCTTATATTATTGTCATTAAAACATGGACCAGATTTCCATTTTCCAGTCTTCTTGTACCTACACAAATTTCAGAGTAGTTATGAAGGTTTGTTATTTAAAATGTTTTATGGGAATCAGTGTCGAAGGAAAGAATATTACTCAAGCCCTAATGAAGAAAATAGTGTTACTGGCCAGGTTTGTGCAGATAAAATGTACCCTCTATAATAGGAACCTTTCCCTAGCGAATACATGTAACAAGAACAACGGTTTGTTGGACAAAGGTGAATAAAGATGATTAGTGAAAGATTGCTTTTGATAATCTTGAAAAAAAAATGATTCATCAGATTCTTCTGCAATCAAATCATTTTTATCACCTGATAGTGAAGAACGTGAATGTATATTTTTTAATTTGTAACAAATTCAAAGTCATATTATCCTATATTCTATTCTAATCTATATATCTAATAATAGAAACAAAAATCCAGTAGAATGGAAATTTCCTCGGCATTTGAAACACAATGTGTTTGCTTACCTTCTAAAGCAAACAGATTTTTGGCCCACACAGGATCAGTTTTATCTAAAACTAGAAAATTGTTATGATCAGTAAAATAATAAAAATCTTTTACGGCTATTTGTTTAATTATTTCCGGATAGTTCTGGTAAATTGTGGGATTTAAAAACTGATATGTTCCTACGTATCTTGAGAAATTAATTGGGGTGTATTAATTGTTTTGCTTTTTTTTTTTAAATTAGATATCGTAGGAATAATCAAACATTGGAAAAAGGATGTTATTGAAAGAAGCAGATTTATCCAGAACAGCTTATAGTATAACAAGCGGATGAATTTATTCGGACTCGGACTCAGAATTACTTTCAGTCTCAGGAACATTCGATATAGCAGATAATTTTATCCTTTCTGAGGAACTTTATTTCTGAAACACTTAGGGCCATATTCTCCGTAGTTCATAAAGCCTGGCTTAGTGGAAACTGTTAGGGCAAGTAAATAAACTTATGTATATTTCTCCAATATATCGTTGCCGTTGACCAGCTGAAAACAAGTGACGGAGAATTTTGTTCGTCGCCAAGGAAAGATTGTTTAATTATTGTCACATTGTCAAATTATTAATATATTTTGTAATTTTGTATTGACTATTTCACTAGAGTGTATTACACCAGCAATAAATTCGGTATTCACCTGACAATAACGCTACCTGGACAATACCAACAACATGGTATTTCAGCGACCATCTTTTGACATTGTCAAACTGGTATTTTTAATTTGAAGTTTTTATTCATAATTTTGCATTCTATTTATTTCAAAATCTTACGTGAAATAGTCATGACGAATACCACTCGAGAAAAAATTGTGTAGGCAAAATTGTTCTCAAGGTTTTATTCAAGTTTGTTGCTTTTCGGCAATTTCGCTCATAGTAATCCTAATAATAAATGGATTGTTTTTTCTGTCGATCATGGGTTACCTACATAATAGTTTCATTTTGAAATTATCTATTATTGTTTTCTTCATTACTATATATTGTTGTTATTTCTTTACTGATTTATTTTTTTCTTAAATGTTTTATCTGTACTTTTTCATCTAATTAGTGCTTTTCGGTTCAATTTCGTGATTTGTTGTTCAAGAATAAATTTTCTTTGTCGAAACGTTGCCTCTTGTTAATCATTTTGGTATTCTGCTTTTTTAAGTTACAGTTGCTTGTAGTTTTTTTTTGTTTGTTTTGGAAGTTTTCCATAATGAATGAATGAACATTTATTTAATTTATGGTAACTACAGATTTGAAAAGCTTCTCGGTTGATTTTTTTATGTTTCTATTTATATTTTTTGTATTATGTGAAACATGATCATTGATTAACTTAACTATGTCCATTGAAATTTTTATTGTTATTTAAATACCTATCTAATCAATTCTGGTAAAACATATAATAATTTTCCAGTTATTTTGTTAATTATGTATCTATTAATTCTTGAATAATTTGTCATTTGTGAAAATGAATTGCTAGTGAGCTCCGAAATCAGTAGTGATATCTGTCAATAATAATACGCAGGCAATTCACAAATCCATGCTAATTGTTTTTGAAATTTAAACGACAAAACGGCATAAATTTAAAATATTATTGTTAAAACATCTTGATATAAAAGCGACACGTTAAATATTTGTTTTTAAAATTTATTCAACCTGACACGCTAATTTTTGGCTTTACTTTTATAATATTTGCGTCACATGCCATTTATCGTTTACACAAATTGTCATATTTTTCTTTAGATAGCGAATTGAATTTGAAATGTTATCCAGTTTATTAGATTTTATTGAAGACAATAATTAAGCTTTTTATAAAGCCATCTTTAGTTTTAGTGTGTATATTATCATTGTACGACGTAGGTAGGCAATGATATTATGAAACATAATATTTGCAAAAGTAATCCCACTTGGGATAGGACAAAATCTAAAGCTAAGAATAAATAAATAGGAGGCGAAAATAAGTAAAGAGTACAAGGTTGCAAACATTCGAAAATTTCAAATTAAATGGGGGGAGGGTTGCAACAAATATCAATTGAATATATATATATATATATATATATATTTTTTTCTTTCATACAAAGGATTGTACAGCCTACAGCTGTGGGTTATTTTATCCGCAAATTGCTTTGTCAACAGTTTTGTTAACTTTTTAAAAGTTTCTCATGAGCTTAGTTTTGGAAATTATTAATTTTGAACCTACGTAGATTATTTGATTTTGAATTTTACACCCTGATGATGATTTTCAACCTTTTCTTTTCCTAGATACAACCTTGGTAACTAGGAAATTTACTGCTCATTAGTATTATTAATAAAGTCACTAGATTCTTTTCTATTATCGTGTACAAACAGCAAACAGTAAAATACATGATAATAATCTGTCGTTTAAGGTGGCTGGCGATCAATTAACACATGCTTATGAATTTCAAATTTCGTGTAAAATTTTATTGCAATCGCGTTTCTATCCACTTGAGGCAAAATATAATTTTGATTGATAGATGAAACATATTTTCTACATTTTTTTATTTATTTTGAATCGGGGATATTGGATGATTTGAAATTCAGTTTATTTATCACGATGCAGAGAAGACTTAGAGAGGTTTTGTTCAAAAATTAGACTTTATTTAAAAAAATATCATTAGAACCTATGTTATCAAAATTTTCTTGATATTGTTGGCAAATATTTAAAACATCGATATGTAAGTAATCTCCATCTCAAGAGGATATTCTGATTTAAAGCAGATCCAAATTGAATTAGGATCGCCATGACTTGGTATAGGTATATTATTCTTTAATTCGGAAAAATATTTTTGATTTTCATCATCACAGATACTTCAAAAGATGCGATGTGAATAGCTTATTGGGCGGTTACACACGGACGTGGATGGCTTGATACATATACGTGCATACATCAACGTGCAAACAACAACGTGCATGTCACCTTTGTACAGACGCTCGCACAAAACTGTCAGTCTTGCTACTCTTGCTACAGTATTCCAAGTGTGCATACAAAATTTCTAGCGATTCCAGAATTCATTTGAACGTCATTCTACAGTTTGCACATTCAAAAACGCTACGGTATTTTGCATACACATTGATGTTTTTGTTTGCGCGTTCATGTATGTGCGTATATGTTTTCAGACATTCACGTCCGTGTGTAACCGCCTTTTAGGTATATGGGTTAAATATCAGATAAAGCTACCCTTAAATGAATAAAGGCTCCAGAGATATAGAAATTATATTATGATCATCTGTATTGTATTTAACTGGGGCAGCAATAATTTGATTACAGTGCAAAAAAAATATATATATTTAAGCCAATTTATTGACACAGTTTTAGAAATTTCACCCGAATGCTGGTTTAAATTACAAAAACAAAAATTACTCTTAAGCTTAGTCTACACCAAAGAAACACATAGAAACATTTTGTTGCTGGTTGCTGCAACCTGTTTATGGAAACAGCAACAACAGCAAAAGTTCCGTAAACATTCTGTCCACACCGACCATTTATATGCACATACATTTGGCTATAAGTTTAGAGTTTTGGGAGTAAGCAACAACGCTTCCACACTGATAAAAATTAAGTTGAGAAACACAGAATGTTCACCAATGTTCCCATATTGCCTTTGTTATTTGTGGCTAAATATGAAAACAAGCTACTTATAAAGGAGCTTTCGTTGCTACAACCGTAAACAATAAGCAACATGAATAAACTTTTCGAAACATACAGAAATAAGTTCCAGGAACCAGCAACATAAACACAATGTTTCTATATGTTGCTTTCGGTGTAGACGTAGCTTAACAGAAACTCGTTTTATTAAATAAATATTTATACAATACCTAATTATTAGTCAAATAATAATAATTATGAATAATAATTTTAATCTTTTATTTTTCCTGGTGTTTGTGAACCAGTAAATTCATTATTTCAAAATTAATAATAATAATGTCCACTACATTCCCTCTTTAACAAATTCCACAATCTATTTAGTTTAGTTCCTTGTTCCTTGTTCAAATAGGTAGGTACCTACGTACTTTATAACCGAGTTTTAACTTATTGCTTATTTAGGGTTTGAAGACGATGCCGGCTCGAATTATTATACAATTCATGTTCTAATAGAGGTTATTCTTGCCGCCAAAAACAGAGTATACTTTCCTAGACCTCACTTTATCATCTAGATGGTGAGAATTACCCTAAGGTTACTGTAGTTTTGAGAATAAGAGTTGAGGAAGTTGCTTTGTAACATCAATAGCGAACAGTCGGTTTTCAACTTCGGAAGCGTTTAGTGGAAGAGTTCCATTAACATAGACGAAACTTTCAAATAATTTCGAGTTTTATTTTTCACTTACTTTATTGAAAATAACGGAAAATAGATACAAGTTCCTTTGTATTCCAAGATTGGAATGCTTAGTTAACATTTTTAAGTCATTTGAACTGGTTTTGTTAAATTACCTGAATATCAGAAACACCAAATCTGACCATATGTAATTTTGTTTAGAAGCTATATTTCGGAATTGGTTCCTTATCTTATAAAGTGATGACAAATTTCATGTGAACTTATCAGGAACTGTGCTCAGGACCGATATTTTTTAATTTTTTGTAATTTGTTTTTAGGTATAGGACCTTCTCTTAGGTGGTAGTTAGGCTATCATATCTATAGTTATAGTTATTCATGATAAATTGAAAGAGCTTCAAGAAATACTGTTCCAGAAACTAATTATGCACGACTAAATAAAGAAGAAAAGCTCCAAAAATTATTTTCAGAAGCTTCAGGCCAAATAGTAACAATCCCAGCAACTATTCCTGAAAAATCAAAAAATAAATAAATAAATTAATAAATAAATATTTTATTAACGGATATCCATTTCTTACAAATTCAACAATTATAAATAAATATTATAAACCAACAAACAGTTTTATTCTAGTATTCTGCGAGGAAATTGTTTAAGAACAGTCAGGCTACAATGACAGTTTTAAACATATCACAGTTACCAGCATAAATATTGGTTTCTGAGAACAATCTATTTATAGGTGAGTATAATCTATAATTAGTTCTATGAAAACATACTGAAAAACTATCACATCTCCTATTATTTTTTTGAGGAACATTAAATCGGATTCTATACCTAGAAGATTAGGGCAGTCAATAAAAGAATGAACCAATTTATACAACATAAAGATATCGTAATAAATTTTCGATGTCAGCATAATTTAATTTATCGATAGGTATTCCAAGTTTAAAGCCAATCAATTTTAAAAAACGGTGCTGCATTTTTCCTAAACGAGATTTATGAATTAGATAGTCAGCTGGAGGTGGGCAGGGGGAGCTAGTACTCGGAACTACCTAGCTTCAGGAGATGATCTTCAAGAGCCACCATCCAGGGAAGTACCTACAAAATCTGGTAATGAGTTGCAAAGCAAAAGGATCGCAACTGATAATGGGATGTGATGCGAATGCGCATCATACTATTTATATGGGGCAGCACAAATACCAACAATAGAGTCATTATACACTTAAATATGGCAAATACTTTAGACATAAATAAACGTGGGAAATAAACCCACCTTTGGACCAACTATTAGAAAGGAGGTACTACTCCACATCACGGTATTTATACAATACATTTGTTAGTGACTTCGTGAAAAAGTGGCGTGTGACTATTGAGGTGAGTTATTCAGATCACAGAGACACAGAGCTTTGAAATTACAAGACATCGTCTTGAAGCTGAAACGTATCAGAACCCCCGCAGAATAAACTGGGAACTCTATCAGGCAGACCTGGAGGACAACTTGCGGGCCGTAAAAACGACGTTAAGATACACCGTAGACTTGGACCAAGCAGCGGAACAACTTCAGACCGCTGTAACATCCGCCTGCATGAGCAAATGTCCTGTAGTTTCAACAGGAATGTGCCCTGGTGGAATAACGACCTCGGAAAACAAAGGAAGAAAACAAGGAAGCTTTTCCATAAAGAAAACTAAGGAAAATGAAGCGAGTACTGTGAAACTCTTACTGAATACAACATATGCCTGAGAGCATCCAACAAGGAATCATGGAGAAGACTTTGTGAGGAAGTTGAACAGATTCCTCAATGTGCCAGACTCTAAAAAAACTTTTCCAATGGTACTCCAGGAACGATTGGCTCTTTGGAAACAGGAAGTGGAAAATACACTTAGACTGGACAGAAGATTCTGAAAGAGCTTTACAGAGTACTGTAACCCTAACCTGGCAAGATAAGACAGGACAATGCAAAAGCTCTGAGACTTATAAGCCTCATGTCATTTTTGTTGAAGGCTCTAGAAAAACTGCTTGATCTTCACATTTGGAGTAGTGCATTGGCTACCAGACTAATACATCATCAGGACTCAGGACCAATATGCTTACAAAACAGGAACCTCAACTAAAATGGGACTACATCAACTCGTCTAGCGGGTAGAAAGTACATTGAAAAATAAGGAAGTTATGTTGGGAGCCTTCCTTGATATGGAGGGAGCGTTTGACAACACTTCCTTTGAGGCAATCATGAGAGCTCTACGCCTACGCTGACGAGGTATTGATGAAGGTGGATAGACTGCATGCTTCGAGGAAGAGTCATCTACTCCACGCTCCTCGGTAAAACAGTAACGGCTCGGGTTGCAAAGAGATGTCCGCAGGGTGGAGTGTTATCACCCCTACTATGGGATCTGGTGATGGACGAGCTGATAGAGCTAGGAAAATTCAACCATACAGTTAGATAGAGATTGCATGCAGCAGGCTCCAACAATAGTCTCTAGGTGGACAGAGACTGTAGGGTTGAAAATTAGTGCCACCAAATTGACAATCATCCCCTTTACCAAAAGAAGGGAAATGGAAAGACTTGGACCACTTTACCTTCAGGGAAACCAAGGTATACGATGTCGGACGAAGTTAAATATGGGGTGATTATTAGACCCAAAATTAACTTGGAACAAACATCTGGACAGGAAAACGTTTGGCAAAACATGGGGGGCTGCGGCCGGACATGATGCACTGGCGGAGGAATAGAAAAACCGACAAGCACTTTCCAATCTCAAAGGCCAGACATGATGTCCTGGTACTCGGAGGGGTCAAAGACTGAGAATGGCACAGACGCAGAAATCTACAGTCAAGAAGGGAGACGCGAGGAGGTACCTATATGCAATACCTACACAATTTGCAAGAATCAACAATACGAGGGCCTGCAACGACAGGGGACTCACTTTAATCACAGACAGTCAGGCAGCACTGGGGGCCTTAAAGAACCCTAAGGCAAACTCTGCACTGGAACTAAAATGCCGAGAAGAACTCAACAACTTGGCGCGCCAAAATAACGTCACATTGATGTGGGTGCCAGGACATAGACGTATCCCGGGCAACGAAAAGGCTAATGAACTTGCGCGCAGGTGTCATCCACGGAATACCTTGGTCTCGAACCAGCTCTCGGAGTGCCCAAAAGTACAGTAAGAAAAGAGCCGAAGGAATGGATGAAAGGCTCAAAGTAGCAACTAGCAATCGGCTTTCTACTGGACATGCCCCAGTAAAGAAGTACCTACCTGCAAACAATGGGTTTGTACAACGGTGACACAAAGCTGCAGACTATGCGGAACAGAGATCGAAACAACCCAACACATTATATCAGAATGCAAGGCACTAACTCGCAGAACACAAAATATAAATGGAGAAGCTGGACTAGATCCAGATACATACGGCAAACATCCAACAAACCTACTTCGCCTACTGCAGTTTTTGTTAACTGACAGCTAAACTAAAGAACTGTCCACTGACAAACCAGTCCTTAGTTTTCCAAAATTGTTCAGAGATAAACATAGTTTAAGGTAGAAATTTGTTACCTACTCGTAAAGAATGTTTTTTGCAAGTCTCTATAAACAATGTATAAACTCGATTTTTTTTGTACAGATTTTTCTTGTACCTAATAAGTTATAGCGCTATTTTTGTCTGGGAATTTTCGAAAAACTAACTATAGAATTCTGTAACTTAAATTTGGTTTTTGGAGGTCTTTATAGAGGTGGTGATATCAAGGCCATAAAAGCAGTAGATAGGTATTCCATTGATCTGAGACAACGGCCGAGAAGGGGATCCTGTATCATTTTCTTTTTCTAGACGACGCTCGTGAGGTGAAAAAAATGGGCCTTGCAATCCTACTTTTTGGTTGATGATTTTTTAAAATGTATTGTTTAGTACAATTTTATTCAGTAATACATAAGGTACCAAATCTAGGGGGTTCTCAAGATCCTGTTAGGTACCTACCTACTTCTCATCTCCCATGTATATCCTATTCACAATCGGATGTCCACATCAGGTACGGGTAAATTTATCACCTTTCCCTATCAAATAGCATTGAAAGGTGATAAATTTCACCTGTACAGTGGACATCGGATTGTCAACGGATAATACCTAGTATATTAGATAATACTTACCCACTTATCAACTAATGATTTTGAAAAAGTTACTAGGTACGAATTTGTTCTCAAGACAGAAAAATGCCCTTTGATTTGCGTAGTATTAGTATTAGTAGGTAGTACGTTTGGGTAACATTAAGGTAAGTAAGTATAGTCTTTGAAAAGTCAATTGAAACAAGGTAAAAATAAATTGCAACTGGTGGCTGACTAGTGGCAGTGCATTCACAGCATGTGCATTTCTTATAAAAGTATTCAATCACCAGTTATGATTTACCTTTACCTTGTTTCAACTGACTTTAAAAAGACCATACCAAATATTAATTAATGAATATTAACAATTAACTAGAGATAAAGTAGAGAGCGGGTTCCTCATCGCATGGACGTTCCTCGGATCAAAATAAATATTCAGCGATTACCAGTAAACTGTCATCACACGATGCAAGGTTCAATTTATCAGTCGCATTAAAATTACAGAAAACTTGGATGTTGGATGCTCTGAATTTTTGTAAGTAGGCATCATAGATATATGCATGTTTTGTTAGTTAATTTTGCATCATAGGTGCCTAGCCAAAATTCAAGAAAATGCACCACTTTTCTAATATCAAAACTATTTCGGATATCCTAAAATAAAGACGATGCAATATAAATTAATTTTATAATTTTCATACGAATTAACATTTATTATATACAAACATTTCTAGAATCTGCAATGTCCATGAACCCTAATCAATTTTTTTTATTTAAATTTCTAGGGGTCGAGTTATAACAATGTTATGGGCTATTATTACTGTGGCAGTTTTAATATTGATATTATGGAAGGGTTACCTGCAACCTTACAGTTATTGGAAAAATATGGGTGTACCCCAAACCACCCCTTTCATATTTTTGGGAGATACTTGGCCCACCTTTTTGAGAACTAAGAACCTCATGGAATGGATGTATTGGATTTATAATATGTATCCTGACAAAAGGTATGATTTAACTCGATAATCCATAATGCATTTTAATATACTTTTTCCAGATTAACAGGAATATACCAATTCTATATGCCTTTTTTGGTGCTTAAAGATCCAGAATTATTCAAACAAATTGCTGTTAAGGATTTTGATTATTTTACAGATCACAAAGGTCTTAGTGTTCCTGAAGACGTTGATCCCTTATGGGGCAAAAATTTGTTTTCTTTGAAAGGTACCCAGTATTATATTTGCAAATTATTACCAAAATTTACAAATGTTCCAGGTCAAAGATGGAGAGAAATGCGTTCGTTATTGTCGGGCTCGTTTACTAGCAGCAAAATGAGAATAATGTACACTTTAATCGCTGAAGAATCTAAAAAATTTGCAAATCATTTTGAAAAGAAAAATGAGGACTTTATGGATGTAGAATTAAAAGATATATTTACCAGGTAGGTACATTTCCTTGGATTGAAAATGATTACTGGCTCTAGTTTTTTTATATTACAGATATACAAATGATGTGATTGCCTCAACGTCTTTTGGAATAAAAGTCGACTCTCTAGAAAATCCAAATAACGAATTTTTCCGAATGGGGACAGAAGTTTCGAATTTATCTGGTTTTTCATTTTTCGTAAAATTCATAGGATTCATAATTGTCCCTAATCTTTTCAAGGTAACAATATTTTTGGAGAGATATTTCTTGATTTCTTATACCTACCTATATTTTTATCCTCAGCTACTTAACATAGGCCTTCTTCCCAAAAAAGCCAGCAAATATTTTGAAGCTACCATAAACGAAACAATAAAAATAAGAGAAGAACAACAAATAAAACGTCCGGATATGATCAATTTGCTGTTGGAAATTAAAAAGGGAATAAATAATAAAGAGGAAGCTGATGTTTCGGATAGTGGATTTGCTGTTGTACAGGAATCCTCTGAAATAGGTAGATATTGATTTTGTTACGGATTTATGGAATTGGTGATATTGTGCACAATCTTGCAACGCGTTTTCCGATAAATATAAAATTCGCGAAGCAACAGAGCACTATAAAACGGAGTCAGACGCCAAAGAAAAAGAAAGGTACCTAGTGATAATAAAGCCTGTGTTTCAAGAATTAGTTAGTGGTGAATTGAACGTTAATAGTCGGATAATTAGATTCTATAGAAAGACAGTGAGTTGTAGTTTAGTTTTGCCTTTAGTTGCTTGATTGTAGTTGAATCAAGTGTTGTACACAGTGCAGGGAAATAGGGGAAAATAAACCTCCTACAATCTTGAATACAAATCATGAAATTAAAGAAAAACGGGTTTAAATAAACAAATACCGATAGTGTTTCTCAGGTTAGTTAATCATCAAATTTTAAAGTGTTTTTTTTTTTTGTTAAAAATTTTTTGTCAAACTTTTCTGCTTGGGTACACTACCTTGTGGGATTGGACTTGATAAGAAAGAAATATTATGAGTACTCTTAACTGCTGTGAATGCAACAAATCTTGCGTATTTAAATCCAGGCCAAACGATGACGAAATATTCGGAGCATGTTGTGATTCATGCGGAATATCATTATGCAAAAATCACCACAACGGAAGCTCATGACGTAGCTCTCAGTCAAAGAACTCTTATATTTTTTGTACCAATTGCAAGAAGACTTCAAAAGATCTACTAAATTTCAAAGTACTTGTGAAGCCATATGAAAAGCTTAGGGTAGAATCTCAGAAGAAAGATACCTACTAAGATGACACTAGAACAAGACCAAGAAAATCTCAGGGAAGAGATGATGACTGAGATTACGTGTTTGAAGACTTGCAATAAAAACAAAGACAATTTCATTCAGCTACTTCGGAAGAGGTCTGTTGATATTGAAGTGTCAGCTGTTGCCGCCGATAAGCATGCTGAGGAAAAGATAAAAAGTCTTGAAGACGAAAAAAGGGGTTTGAATAAGGATCTTTTAAAGCTTATGGAGAAAAACAAGGAATTGCTAGCTGAGATACAGAACCAGCAGAATAAAATCAAAAGTTTCATCAAGGACATAGATGAACTAAGAGTTTTGAAAGCAATCTTATGACAAGCATAGAAACCTTGACGAAGGAAAATGACATGTATGCCAAGGACTTTGAAATGGCAAATAAGGAGTTACCTATATGAGCTAGCAAACTCATCTAGATTTTCCACGGTCTCCAGGTTAGCTGCAGTTTCTTCATGTGTCTTTCCTGGTGAATTAAAGGACTCAGCTAACACATCACAACTGGCTTCCATCGCCAACAAAGTTGGAGGTTCTCCTCCACTAGAGTGTGGTGATGCCAAGTGCACACAGAATAAGGGAAGGATTCTTGTTATGGGAGATCAAGCAGCCAGAGGTAATTCTGGCCTGTTGGATGTTCATCTGGACAACAGGCTCTATGATATTAGAGGTGTTGTTTACTTTAATGCACCCCTGGGTGAGATTTGCTATGGGGTTATTAGAGAAACAACATCATACAATTAGAATGACTATATTATTATTGTTCTTAACATTAATAAGCAAACAGCGCTGCTAAATGCTAAATGCTAAATAGAGAACTGCATGAGTATTTTAGTTGTTTCAGAGTGCACCACTGTTCAATTAGAATTATAGAAAAATTTTAAAGTAAATATCCATTATAGGCATAGCACAGAATATTTATGAGAACTTTTAAGCTTGTATGTAGGAATTGGTGTCTTTGTATCTAAATCCAACTTAACTGTAGGAACCCTCTGTGCAGGGACGTAGCTAGAGTCAAATTTAAATTTGTGATAGGGCATGAAAAATTTGACATATGGTATGCACTACTCCCCCCCCTTAAATTTTTTATAGGTAAACAAAATGGGGGTAATAAATTTTTCAATAAATAACATCTCTGGCATTAAAACAAAATGGCGCATTCAGGCAATAATTTTTGAGGGACCTCTTGTACTTGTACTACTTGTAAAATAACTGTATACCTACCAACTTACTCGATTTCAGGTCTATTCATTAGCTGTGGTCCAACCGACATGGGAACCATTCCAGAACCAGTAATTTCCAATTGCCCACCTAATTTTCAATAAGTTGAACGTTTATCCTACTTGACAAATGAATTGATCGACTGGAAATTACCGTTCTAGAACGGTTCTCATATCAGTTGGAACAGTGCTTTCATCTACGTTCAAATTTCCTACAGAAACCTCAACGCACGTTGTATTTTAAAGGTAGGGCATCATCATTTGAAAGATAGGGCATTGCCCCCCAATGCCCCCCCACCTGGCTACGGCCCTGATCCTGTGCCATGGATATTATAAAATATTCATAGGCACTCAATGCAATTTATGTGTATGTGATGGTGGTGATGTGGATGTAATACTTGAAAGTAATTCGACTGCCTCTAATAAGGATAATACTAGTAGGTATGGGGGCTGTGCAGGATGATCACTTTTATAGATACTTTGTCTGGAGATGGAAATGCACAAGGCACTTCGTCGTCACATTTAACTATTGGGAGTGACGTTGATTCTGGTTCTGCATCGGACAGAGGGTTCTCTCTTCTCTTTTCTTATTGAACGTTCAATCATTACGAAGTAAGACTGGCGACCTGTTTTTGCTCTTGCAATCCTGTAATTTTCCGGATTTTGTTTTATTAGCTGAGCATTGGCTTAAGGCCAATGAATGTTTTTTGATTGACAATTATGTATGTACCTGTATCTTTGTTTTGTAGAAGTAATTCAATCCACGGGGACACAATTAGGCTAAAAAATCAGTAGTTGGCCCTAATTTGCTGATCTGTCTAGATAAATTTGATTCGTTGTTGACTGAAAGGGTGTTTGAGTTTTCAGTTTGTTTGTGTAAACGTATTAATGTATATATGTTATCTCAAAAACTCTTGAAATTACTTTAAAAAAAAAACACTAATTTATTTTAAAATACAAGTTACAAATAAAATCGGACATTAACTCAACTATACAAAATAATGACGAATAATGACGCTTAAGCTAAAGAGACAGGATCTTTTATAATTAAAAATATGTTGATCTTGCTGTTTCTATAGGAGCGTTGCGACCATGGACCAGAGTTCTTGGCGTGACATGTTATCACAGGATAACTTGCTGAAGTAGCGTCTAGACTTTGCGATACTTTGTACCACTATGGTGATGAAACGCGTCTTGAGGTCAATGTAGTCGTGAAATCCATATAACAGCTCCCCCATTAAGTAAAAAGTTGGTGCTTTGCAACAATTTTTTCAAAGACCAACTGGGTTGTTGTGTAGACTGGTCATCTCTTGTTCTGAGGGTAGATTTGGAAGAACGGTGTTTCTTCGTTTCGGTAAAAGCTTTCTAAGGTTGTTATTGCCTATTTGAAGACGTGAATGAGACTTCGGCGGTTGTGGTTCGACTTCGTCGATAGGGCTAGGTTTGGGAGGTGCTTTTCGATAAATGATTACAAGAGCTGCTATTAGTACGATAATGAAGTAGGTGAACCATTGGCTGTGTCTTAATACGAATGGTTCTTGGATTAGTTTATCCAGCTCATCGGAAAATTGGTTTAGTCTATGCTGTGCCACGTTTAGATCATCGATGTTGATTTTAGATAGTTTGAGTGGTTTCAAGTCTGGCACATGAAGATCCACAGGCAGGTGTTTGCAGCAATCATAGGGAATTTCCACTGGATGGCTTTTATAGGTGACGTTTCTGTATTTTTCTGCTAGATTCCTAGCATGAATTCTGGAGTTTCCTACAAAGGCATTGCAGGTTGGTTGGAGCTTGAGCACTGTGTTGGTGTTGATTGTTTCTGTCACACTGTTTTTGCCATCACATCTGATAGTGATTGGAAGAGACGATGATAATGTTATCAGCCAGTAGTTTTTGTCTAGTTCTTGCACATTGTAGTCACTAGCGAGTAAGATTGAGGTTTGGCAAGTCTTGGGAAGTGTCCCTGTTGACTTCAGGAGTTGGGCTTCGCAAATGGCATCACTGTCTATAGGGTATTGTAGGAGGTCAGAACATATCCTTGTGTTATTATCAAGAGGTTTGCAGTGATCCAGGCTTTGGAGTAATATGTACAATAAAGAATCGTCATCTCTCGCGATATATTTTTGAGTTATTGGTAAAATATGATGAAAACCTGTTCGATTATCCAAAATTGGGATAGGGTAGATGTGATAAAGAGTGTATATTTCAGGTTCGATCAGCGGTATTCTAAGAATAAAGACAATTTTACCTTCTGATTGATAAGCTTCTAAATCAATTATATCCAGGTATCGTGCTAGATATGGAAGATATGTAGGTAAAGGAAGGTTATTTTTGGATAAAAAGCGCGATATTTCCTGTAAAGAAGCAACCAAGTCTTTAGGAGTTATAATTGAGGTATGTAAGATCTTCAAACGTGCAAACGTTATTGCTTCTAGAATGTCATTAAGGGAATTTTCTAGAAAGACGTAGCTTTCCATTAATGATTCACAGAGGTTTAGAGTCCTGGTTTGGGCTTCGTAAAACTTTAAATCGTTCGAAATGTCAGATATGAATTCTTTGATTTCTGCTATATCGATGTTGAATGTTTCTTCATCGATTTGGAGTTCTTGAATAGTAGAATTGAAATTTTTTATTACTGAGGTGGTTACAGAAATTTGATTTTTAAGTAAAATTTCAAGTTCTCGTTCGTCTGTAATAGTCTGTATTAATTTTGTCAATACATTTGTTGAAGTATTCACCATCGGTAGAGTCTAAGTTTCCGGTGATTGATTTAAAGATACTTCCTATTCCGTTAATTAGTCCACGTTTATTTCTATAGTTTGTGTCGCCAGTGATTTCATTAAGTTTCTGGTCGACTGAATCAGCAACTTGAGTTAAAAGGCTGAAATGAGTTTGAACTTCAACTTTGAAGGCTATCATTCGAGGAGAAGGGTCATCAATTATTTTGGTCAGGCTATTGAGAATCTTTTTATTGTTCTGGATAGTTT